GAAAACCGTCAAAGTAAGAACGTGCTTATGGGAGTGTTTGCAACTGCTTCTGCTTAAAAAAAAAGCACTTTTGGAGATGTAAGGAAAAAGTGATTAGTAGGAAAAATTGATAGTGTTTGAGAAAAAAGTGATTTTGAAAAGTAAAAGTTGATAGTGTTTGGTAAAATAAGTGTTTTTTGTGTAATAGAAAGGGGAAAAGCACTTTTCACACGCAAGCCGAGAAAAAGTAAAAATTGGTAGTGTTTGGTAAATAAGTGCTTTTTTAAGCCAAAAACTGAAAAGTGCTTTTTTAAAAGTGATTGCAAACACACCCTATATCTCGTTTGAAAAAGCATTTTCAAGATAAAGAAAACTTAACGCCACGTCTCCACCTGCTTTATTTCTACCACTGGTTGTCCCTTTAAAATCCATGTTCCATTTTGGTATGTACACTCCTCTTCCCTGCTGGTTAAGTTTTAGACTACTCTTCTTTTCCATTTCACACAAGAATAAAAACACATGATCTTCCACTCAATCCCCTCATTTCTAACCATATTTATTTTTATTCAAACATTCCATCTATCAATATTAAATATATGCGTGTATAGACATATAATCTAATCCCTTCCCATACTATATTACGGAGTATTATATACTCCGTATAAGTCTCATGCATGTTTGTGAGAAAATAGTGAAGGAGAGATAACCAGAATGGAAAAGTATGAGATTCTCAAAGACATTGGTTCTGGGAATTTTGGAGTTGCTAAGCTGGTGAAGGATAAGTTCAGTGGGGAGCTTTTGGCTGTCAAATATATTGAGAGGGGCCACATGGTATATTCATATTTATATTCTGGGAGATTGTTTATAAGCTCAGCCATTAATTTAATTTACTAGTGATTGCAATCTGGCTTCATCTTCTGTTAATAGATTGATGAACATGTTCAGAGGGAAATCATGAACCATAGGTCCCTCAAGCATCCCAACATCATTAAGTTCAAAGAGGTAATTAATTAAGTAGTTAATTAAGTAATTAACAATGTTCCTCATAAGATTTTTTAAAACCATCAGATCGATTATCCTCTTTTTTCAAGTATTTGGGAATTTCTTAACTGAAAGGGCAGGTCAGGTCATTATTTAATTAAAGAAACCTGGCCTTTTGGCTGTTGGGGGTAAATAACTCTACAGAGTAATTAACTCTACAGAAAGACAATTAGTATGAAAATCTTGGAGTGGATCTCTGAGATGAAGAATCATATGGTTTTAATCGAAGCAGATAAACAATTTTTTTAAAAATCGCAAGTAATTAATTTTTTTTTTGAAAATAAGTAATTATTTATTTATATATTTAGCTCGAGGTAATGGTGCAGGTGTTTCTGACGCCGACTCATTTGGCCATAGTAATGGAATACGCTTCAGGTGGAGAGCTTTTTGATAGAATTTGCACTGCTGGAAGATTCAGTGAAGATGAGGTCCACTCAATTCTAACCTTTAACTTGTTCTTCATCATAACATTAGGAGCCTGTTTGGTAGCACGAAAATCGGCTGATTTGACTGATTATGCTAAAATTTATAAAGTTTTTACTGAAGTGATTGCATTAGCTGATTCTGCTGATTTAAGAGAGAAAAAAATTAATTTTTTTTTTGATAAATTAAAGAAAAAATCATATGTAAAAATAACTAAAATGGTAATCTACAGTAACTTCAGCCAATATAGCCAGAAAAGTAACCTCAACCTTACTTTTTCTGCTTATTACATAATTCAGTGTACAAAAGCAAAAGTGAAGTGTTTGGTGAAAAATTGACTGATAAACCTGATAAGCTGAAAAACAATGTTATGTTGCCAAACGGCCTCTAAGTTATCGCTATCCCATTCAATATATATCTAGAATACAAAATCATAATTTTATTTGTAGGTTACATCTATATCATAATTTTATAGTTACAAACCCGTTTGGTAACTCATATTTTAAGTTTATTGAGTTTGTGAGTCAACTTCTTTATCCTACAAAATGAACATATAAATTTTTGAATTACTTCTTCTACATAGCATGTAATTGACAACTCTTTGAGGCTTTTATAACGTTAAAATTGGTTGAATATGTTGAAGGAGCCGAAATTGTTTAGGTTTGGCTGCATCCGCCAAATTATGAAAATTTTATTCATTACTCCGTATTAAATACAAGCTAAGTAAGAAAAACAATTGTGGAAAAACTAAAATTCTCCTATTCAACAAATTTATCCTGTAAATATTTCAAGCCATAATTAGTTATTATTATGGAATTTATCATGCAAAACAATAATTGTCTTTTTTCTAATTGTTAACTGCTCTCGTTGCCAAATTCTATATTGTAGGCAAGATTTTTCTTCCAACAGTTGATATCAGGAGTTAGCTACTGCCACTCTATGGTACTTTGCTTCCCCATTCTAATAGTTGTTTCTTCATGAGTTTCTCTATGTTCTTAAGGACTTAAGGTGATATATGATTTCATGGTTTGGATATTGTTGTGCAGCAAATTTGTCACAGAGATCTCAAGCTTGAAAACACACTCTTGGACGGAAGCTCTACATCGCGCCTCAAAATATGCGATTTTGGTTATTCAAAGGTAATCAACAATGTACATCCTCTAGCAAATACTACTTCTAGCCTAAAACCAAGTTTCTGCTTGACAAACCAATATATTTATGTCAAATCAAACAAACAAAAAAGAGAGCTAAAATTGTCTATTACAAGTTTTTTTAATGGGAAAGAAAGATTCATTTTGAGATGCCTATGTTAAGAAAGTGACAGCTTATTTTTAAGAAGAGAGATGTATAATTGCATATACCAAAGACAGATGCCACATACACCAATGGATAAGTTAAAGACTTAAATTAAACTAATTAGTTGGTATGGTTGCTGATGTGATATCTTGAGCCATTTGGTTGACCTAAACAAAAGTACATGAAGGATCATTTATCTTCATTTCACTGGATAAATTGAATTTTTTGTTGAGCATCTTACTTATGAAAGTGAAAAAACAGAATGGGCGCCGAATTATATTTTCAGTGTTTCTAGTTGAGCTGCTGACTGGTTTTTGATTCTTTAGTCTTCAGTTCTGCATTCTCAGCCCAAGTCAACAGTTGGAACACCGGCATACATTGCTCCAGAAGTCTTCTCCAGAAAAGAGTATGATGGAAAGGTAAGACACTTGAACTATTTTTTGGTTTAACCTGATAATGTTGTTATCAGTTAACTACCCAGAATTAAATTAATGATTTATATGTTTAATATTCTACATATGCATAAATGGATAAAGATTGCAGATGTTTGGTCTTGTGGGGTTACACTATATGTGATGTTGGTTGGTGGTTATCCATTTGAAGACCATGAGGATCCTAGAAATTTCAAGAAAACCATCACAGTATTACATCAAACTGACTTTTCTTTCTTATTTTGATTTCATTAATGCTCTTCTTACGGACTTTCCGTTTTCTGTTGTTTTGGTGCAGAAGATACTAAGCGTACAATATTCAATCCCAAGCTATGTTAGAATATCTAAGGAGTGCAAACATCTCTTATCTCGGATATTCGTGGCTGATCCCGACGAGGTCAATTTCAAGCTTACCCCTTCTCTCATTTCTATACATAATTAAGGTCCTGGACAATTTTTAAGAACTTTGGCTATGTTTGGTAGCTAACTCTGGCTGAGTTGAATAAGTAAAGAACTATTGGCTGAATTAGTGAAATGAATCTTAAAAAAGGTAAAATCTTTAACAACAAAAACAGCAGCAAATTCACTCGAATAATCCTTACTAAACGAGCCGGTGATTTGAAATGTTTATGCAGAGAATAAGCATTGAGGAGATCAAGAAACATCCATGGTTTCTGAATAGCTTAGTGGAAGAAATCATGGATGATGCAGAGGAAGACAAAAGTGGAGAGCCAAATCACAACATTAATAATGGGGATGAAGGTGGGCAAAGTGTTGAAGAAGTGTTAGCCATAATAAAAGAAGCTCGAATGGCTACCGCAATGGACGGCCTCCTATTGACAGAAGGTGAGATGGATGAAATTGAGGAAATGGACTTTGATGCTGATATAGATGATGATATAGAGACAAGTGGGGAGTTTATATGTGCATTGTGAGCTAGCCTAAATCACTAATTCATGCCATTGTCAAGCCCCAATCATTCTACCATGTAGTTTGGATTTGATCATTTTTACTTGAGAAAGGTAATTTTAGTAGAGTTGTTATATAATTGAATAAAATAATGTAACCCTTTGTCAAGAATATAATCCTTATTATGTGAATTTTAGTCGTTACAAAATAATTAACTCTGTCACTTTGATTGTTTCATTCAACATATAATCAATTATAATGGGAATTCGAACAAGCTTCCTATGGATTTTTGAGACTATATGGTTGTGGTGCTACCAATGAGTGCTTCCGTTGACTAGTTGAATTGTAATCGTCTATTCTTATACACCGGATGGATACAAATAATATTTTTGAAAAAAAAAATTATACAGAATTTTTTACCTTAACAATTATTTTTTAAATTTGGGGTGGGCTAGGGCCTATGTAGGTCTTCCCCTAGCTCTGCCCTTGTTCTCGATTCAGCCATTCAGGTATCATTAAAACAAATATGCTCATCCTTATATAGAAAATCAATTTGGATTTTTGGGTGTGAAAAGTGATTGATATTTAAAAGGGAAAACTGTCAAATAGGTCTACCTACTATGGGTGGAAATCAATTGAGTCCATGTACTAAAATTTCAGCCAATTACGTCCACATTCTTTCAAATAACGGTCAAATTTTAGAGGTTGTGAAATTATAGTATGCCACATAAGAAGCCACCCACATCTTCATTTGTTGGCCCTTGACCGGTTGATGACCTGCAATTCCAGGATTTTTCAATTTCCTTGCAAATCATTCAACCATAAATCTCACCTTTCACAAATCTTCTCCAAACGGTCCCACGTATCATTTTTCTTTTTTCTTTATTTTTAATTATACCGTACACCCGGTTGTACAAAGAGATTTTAAAGATCAGTTCATGAAACTAAGGAATTATGCAGAGGAATGTTTGAGGTCCATTCCAGATTCAACTGTGGTGATTCACACAAGCAGAGTTCTCCCAGAAGCTCCCTTTGTTTTTCAACGCATTTACATGTGTTTTGAGCTAGTCAGACGTGGTTTTCTAGAAGGTTGTAGGAAGGTAATATGGTTGGACGGTTGCTTCTTGAAAGGACAACTCAAAGGTGAGATATTAACTGCAGTTGTGAGGGATGAGAACAATCGGATGTTATCCATAGCTTGGGCGGTTGTTGAGATTGAGAACTCCTCATGGACATGGTTTTTAGACCTATTGAAGACTGACTTGCAGATTACTAGGCCACACTAATGGACTCTAATTAGTGATCAACAAAAGGTATTTTTTAATACGGTGTATTATATGAAATATGAAATGTGAAATGTGAATTAGTATATTATAACTGTACAATATCACATAGTTTTCTTATACCAATCTGTATTATATCAACAAAATGTATTTCGGTAATACGTACATAGTTTTAGAAACTTATAGTACTGTGTATTGTCTAGTTATAACTACATGTATAATTATACTAACTATAAGTTTATAGTAACTATAACTTTATAACTTTACATGTGTAACATTATACTAACTGAATATGATCATAAGTTAGATAAGTTAAATGAAAGGTCTAGTCACATGAATACAGTCACATTCAAGCATAATAACTTCACATGAATACAATCATATGAAATCCATACAATCAAATGAATATTTTTAGATGTTATATGAAAGGTCTATACTCACATTGATTATAGACCATTGTACACACATTCAAGCATTGAAAATCAGTTGAATGTTCAAAACAGTCTACATAGAAGCATACTTATATGATCACTAGTTTAGTAACGCGCGTTGCGCGTTCGTGGTAATGCTCAAGGCCATTGTAGGGACATTAATTCCTCGGTTTAGGTTGAGTGAGTATATGAGTAATATAAATACAATATTTGAATACATAAGAAGTATGGTTTTAAGTAGTGAAATTCTATAGCTAAAAGATATAAAAAGATGCTTTAAGAGGGTTTCAAAGTGAACTAACCGCTCTTTAACACTTCTATTCACGTCTATACAATCCGGTACCTCCCTGTTTACAGTTCATATATATCATGTGGTAAGGGGATGAGAAAATCAAATAGGTGGCCTCTTTTAAGAGGGTTTTGTAGCAGCTTGGCAGCACCTTTCTAAATACGCTAAACAAATACAACAATTTATACAAAAAAAACAAGTTAGTTGCAGTAGGCATATAAAACTTCGTATGATTAACTTAGTTGAGGTAAAAAAACTAAGCAAATATTGGAGGTAATTGCTAAAAACAAAAACTTGAGTGTTGGACTATGCAGGTCATTCACTACTTTTGAAACTATAATGCTTTCTTATTTACCTCCAATATTTAACAATTCAACAATTTATACAAAAAAAACCAAGTTAGTTGCAGCAGACATATAAAACTTTGTATGATTAACTTAGATGAGGTAAAAAAAACTAAGCAAATATTGGAGGTAATTGCTAAAAACTGTAACCTGAGTGTTGGACTATGCAGGTCATTCACTACTTTTGAAACTACGATGCTTTCTTATTTATCTTATTTTTATATGAAAAATTCTTTAATTTGTGCTCTTCCAAATCTGTTCTTATTTATCTTATAAGGCTTGTGGTCAGTTTAGTGGATAGGTGGATATAATGTATGATCACCTAGTATGCAGATTCATCTTTTCATTTTTATAAAAATATCAAAATTATAACAAATAAATAAGTGTGAATCCACCAAAACCTTCCCCTACAAAGTTTACAAGCCCCTTCAAAACCCTAAAAAATATAATAACATAGTAATGATCATTACAAGTTAATTATATTTCTAAAATGGAAATATAATTAGTTTTTTAAAGAAAATAGAAGTCAAGTCTCAATAATTGCATAAAGTAGTTCGAACTTCGAAATAAGCATGCAACTTTGTGGTTGAACTTAGCCATGCAATTTATTTTTTCCAGTAAGTTCCCGGCATCAATACTTAAGAATATCTGCGGATAACAACACATAGCGGGTGGGGCTAAAGGCCTCTTCTTCTTCAATATTATAGTTAAAAATAGAACAAATCTGGACATTGTAGCCAAAGTTATTCCACAAAAATAATGTTTAAAAAAACAGTTTGATCAAAGGAAATATTCTGGTAAGGAGTTTTAAATTAACGAACTTCAAGGGCTTTCCTCTAAGGGTGGGTTTTCAGTGAAATCAGATTATGAAGCTTTGGACCGTCCCTTTCATTATCCTTTATTTGGTAGTCCAAACAGGGAGTTAAAGTTAATATCTTTCTAAATGTTGTTACATTTCAGGTTTTCATTTTTCAGTTGCAACTCATGGGTATTGTATAGTGGAAACGGAATGACTATGATATTAAGTACTTGTGAAAGACTAATATTTAGCACAATTTGGTGGGTCTCATTAACTTTTCTGTCTCACAGCCTCAAGAACTTGCATTACCGTACTGGGCATTATTTAAACTTCAAACAATATTTACCAAAGCTCACAGTGAGCTAGAATCATAGAACTTTAAAAGTATTAGCTAATTACCAATTATTTTTCACCGATTTGGAATTAAGTGTGCCAATGAAGCTTCATATTCTTTATTGCTCAGTAGCTCTTCAAAAACTCTATGTATATATCTAAGGAACAAAGAAGGAGCTTACGTGAAAAGAATTTAGTTAAACTAAGGCTAACAACTGCACATGACTCCTTATGTATGAATTCCTTTAAATTCAGTTAGGAGACCACCTTTCCAACTCAACAACCAACTTAATCTTGCTAATTGTCAATGTTTTAGTCTCATTTTATTCAATATTTATTAACTAAACCAGACCTATATACACCATTAAAGTTTGAAAAACATTCGCTTCTCATATGATTAAGCAAAGAAGATTTACAGTTCATATGGCTATTAATTTTTTTAAGGAAACAATGTTGGAAAACCTAACCAAAATAACAGACAAGATATGCTTACGTAAAATGAAATGTGGAAAATCAGCTTACCCCCAGATGAAACTCACGCAGCTCAAACTGCCAACAATCTTTCCAACCTAAAGAAGGTTTTAAAAAAGCAGTTAAATTACTTTCTAAAAGGGAAAAAGTGGAAAAGATACAAACAAAGGGAAGTGTATGGTGATAGGGAATGGTCAGACTGGGAAAAACTATTTAATAGTTTTCTCAGCTGTGACAAAAACATTCTCAGGCCCACCCCGTGCAGCCTATATTCCTATGATGAACTGTTTTAATATCAGTGACAGAATACACTAAGTTGCTAAAAAAGAAGTAAACCTCTGACTACAACATATACTATAGCATTACAGATTTGTAGATTTAAACGCATGTGTTATTTACATTTAAATATTAATTAAAATAGTTATGTCACTTATCGGTAAAAAAACATGCTTGAAGTTACGCTTAAAGGATACATCTATGAACTTCATGAAAGGTGTCCTAGAGAACTTGGCCTTTTCTATTTTCGAAAAGTTGGCTGACCAATTCCAGATTGGAAAAGTTCATGCATTTATAAGCTAACTCATGTTTCAATTTTATTGTGGGGGTTTAAGGAGCACATAGTTTATATTATAGAGCGTATTTTTAAAAGTTATTAGCACAATAGATGAGATAATGTTATCTTAGGAATTCAATTTTTGATATTATGATAAAGTAAGAACTAAAAGAATAACGTTAACATGTGTGTCAGTTCAGTTAAGTTTTGAGGGGTCTTGGTCAGTAACTGTCCGAGTGTGAAGATTGAGAGGAGGTGGCAAAAGATCAATTCACACACAGAGATAAATTCACATTGACAGTCCATACCTGCAGTGCAAGGCTCAACCCACCATTTTCTTCTTTATCAAAGTACAATAACTTCAGATAGATAAGCTAGATAAGCTTTACACCTTAGACTATTAAAACAAATATGAATATGAATATGAATATGAATATGGAAAAATTGTCCTCTCACCCCAAATTTTTCTCTCTAGTGCTGTCCTAATTGGATAACATGAACAAACCATAAAGTTAGGTACTAAATATGTAAGCTATGACCCTACAATGTATAATGTGTACTAAATATTATTCATTTCTGAATATAAAAAACATGAAATTCCTCATTTTCATAACATATTACATATTACTTCCGTACGCTTGGTCAAACTTGTTCATTGGCAAACGTGAAATGTTGACTGATGCAATTAAAAAAGAACGGAGGAAGTATGTGTGTTCCAAAAAAACTAGAGTATAAATGTACTTAATTTTTTAGCACCTGCTAGCTCATGCGAGTTAGTACTTCGAGGCCGTTTGGCAACATTATTTTTCGGCTTATCGGGCTTATCAGCCAACTTTTTCACCAAACATGTAACTTTCGCTTTCGCGGGCTGAATTATGTAATAGGCAGAAAAAATAAGGTTGAGGTTACTTTTCTGACTATTAAGTTACTATACATGACCATTTTAGTTATTTTACATATAATTTTTCCTTTATTTTATTAATAAAATATATTTTAAAAATAATTTTTTTCTTAAATTAGCAGAATCAGCCAATGCAACCACTTCAATCAAAACTTCATAAATTTCAGCAGAATTAGGCAAAACAATCGATTTTCATGCTACGAAACGGTCTCTGCATATGATAATGAATTTGACCAATAGTGTTTTTGCTGAATTTTTTGAGTTAATCTTACACATAAAGTTGTGAGATAAATAAATGTGACCTACGTATAAGGATGAGTAAGAGGACTAGAATCCCGATTAGAGATGGCTTTAAGGCTACACGTCCACGGATATTACTCTTGAAAAGAGGTGGATAAAAATGTGATTTACTACCTCCGTCCCAAATTGATTTGCAAATTTGTTTTTTCTTGGTCAAACAATTTCATTTTATTCGCTTAATTAGGATGTCAATTTTTATTTAGATTCTAATTTGGAGTTCGCAACTTTGAAGAGATTCTAATGTGGCCGATTACTAACTATATATGGAACTCAGACGGTCAGACCAAGCATTTCCATAATATTTGAGATTTTGAAATAATCATAAAGGTTTTAGGAATAAGGAAAAGTAAGAAGTGGTAAGCAAATTTAGTAAAGCTAGTGTATTCTGCTTGTAATCCGTGTTATCTTCCGTTAGTGGGTGGCAAGATTGCCAATTATGTATTAAATTTCATGATTTTTGCACCTAAAGAAAGGTTAGTGTCTTATCTGCACTTTTATCCCTACCATAGTGGCTAATTTGCCCCTTTTCCCGTTTTCCGGTATTGACCGGGTTGTTTCTTGGTCCGGTTTTTTAAACATAGGACCAAACACTTGTGCTTGACCAAATCATATTAGATTTTTAAATGGGAAATTCTATTAACAGCCACAGTTTTACTAAACACAGCCCTTTATTTCAAAAATTCCAATTATACCCTTTTACTTAACGCAACCCTCATCCAATTTATACAGAGTATCTAATATATCATCCGTAACATGTCTCCAGTTCCTTCTTGAAGCATGGAGATTGATTTAACGTTTCTTGATTGGAGTGGTAAAAGTATTCCAAGGTCTGCCCATTCAAACCAAAGTTTCCACCTGAAAATAATCTTCAACATGGCTTGGGACCTGTCCAGCATCGAGTCCCCTGCCGCCGGGAAAAAAATTGAAAATTCTCAATGACCCGAGACCCTGAATTTTCTTTTGAAAATCTCCCTTCAGTACTAAGTTTGTTGATTTTACTGGTTTATCAAGTGGGCATGAAGCATTAGCTTCAGACAACATCTTTGTTGTCCAATACTCTAATAGCACACTGGTCGGTTGAGTCATCGTCTTCTCTGCACCCCGTTTTGCAGTAGCACACTATTCTCTGCATCTATTCTGCGTCGGAAATATAAATAGATACCGCCCTGTCTTTAGTTGCTTTGCATATGGGAAGAAGTCGCTTGAGAAGAGTAGTCCTCGCTCTCTCTGAATTGCTCTGAACTCGTTTTTCATTCCATGTTCTGCAGCGAAATTGTTTAGTCGGATATGCAGGCCGTCGATCGACTTGTTGCCTGTCTACGCTGAAAAATAGATCCACCGAGAACTTGAGAGTCCCATCTCCTAGCAAAACCATCCGCCTTTCTCCAAAAATCTCTTTGCCTCGCTTGAAATCCATCGCCAAACAGGGGAAGTGATTCGCCGGTGAAAAATCTATATGCCGCCCAATAAGCTCTCGTTCATTAATAAAAAAAAAGGGCATATTAGATATTTAAACTATTAGGGGGCTGTATTTAGAAATATCGGGGCTGTGGATAGAAACTCCCTTTTTAAATAGAGCAGACCAAATCAAAGAATATTAATGGTGCCAAACATAGGCTAATGGGCTGACTATGTTGGCAAAACCCAAAACACATAAAAAACAGGTAATATGAGTTTGGGCCCAAATGTTCATCTCCCTCCCTGCATTCCGTTTTCTGAAGAGTGAAGAGTGAAGGTAGTTATAGAAGCAGGCAGGCAGCAGAGCAACCTCATCCAGGGAAAGAATCAACCATGGGAGGCCGAAGTCGATCCCGCACGAAGAGGAAACACTTCCGGCATCCTAGAGATGAAGGCCGGAAACGCCTGAAGTCGGATTCCCAGAAACCGCCTGACAGAGCCCCGTCAGTCGATGATGAAGCTAACGGGGACGCCACCAATAGTAACCCCATAACGGAGCCTTTCTCCAAGCACAATCTTTCATTCGAAGAATACTACAAGGTGCGTTGAGCCGTTGACGCTCTGTATATTTCCCATTTCCGTACGTGTGAGTATGCACAGGCTCAAATTAGGATTTATTTTTGCAGGAACAAGGCATTGTGTCGCCGGAAGAGTGGGACACTTTCATTGAATATCTCCAAACACCGCTCCCTGTTGCTTTTAGAATCAATTCCAGGTCTCTATTAAAATATATCCGTGCAAAATAGTATAATACAATGGATTTCAGCTCATCCGTTTCGAATCACGTTTCTCTTGTTTCTAGAGAAAAATGTCCATATGTGAAGTGGCGTAATGATGGCCTCGTTTCCATTCATGGTTTATTTACATGAAAATATAATTGTGGGTACCCTGTTTGTTTGGTATCTAACGCTCATTCAGTTTCATGTGTGATCAAAAGGTGTAAAAAACGATTAGGTCCTTACTATCTCTCCCTGTAAAACGTCCACAAGGTTTAGCCTTTTGAGCTTGTGGTTTATGGATGTTTTTCTTTGTTGCATTCATAAAAACTGTAACTTTGTTACTTATGAACATTGTACTGTTGTGAATGCTGCACATTATTTAAAAAAGAACTTCCTATTTCCAAGTATTCATCAGCCCTTTCACTGATACCCTATTGCAGGACGCAGTGTTATATGGATATTAGATCAATGTTAGAGGATGATTTCATGAACTCTCTTCAGGCAGAGGTTTGTCCCTCCTAAGCGCGCACACGCACACACTAAAGTAAGAGTCCATACTCGTAACTATAAACTCAACCAATCCCCTCAGATTTCAGATGGGAGTGAAGTTGAGGCAATTAAACCTTTGCCTTGGTACCCAGATAACCTTGCTTGGCATTCCAATTTCTCTAGGAGCCAGTTGAGAAAGAATCAAACTCTTAAGAGGTACATGGTACTTTTTACTTAATACCGAGAAACACTGCTCCTGCAAAAGTCTTAAACACAGAACAGGTCACATACAAACAAAAGAAACTAGAAAACATCTATCACCCTGTGCTTTCTTCGCCCCGCCTTTCCAAGAAAGATAGCTCTATGCAACCCATTACCCACATAGGTACCACATAAAGTACTGCCAAAGTGCCAATGAATCAAGATTAAAGTATTAGATTGTCTATCAATATTATCTTCATCAGGGGTTTTTCTTTGTGAAGTTATAGACAATAATTGTAAATAACTTTCCAATCTAAACCCCTTGAACGTTAAGTCGTGTATAGAATACCTTGAACACCCTTTGTGAAAAATGGAGCACAGGCCCATGCATTAGCTTCATGTAATGGGGCATTTGTGTATATATATGCAAGCACATATGAATTACCAAATTAATATTTTATGGTTTAAAATGATAAAAATTTCAGGTTCCACGAATTCTTGAAACTACAAAATGAAATTGGCAACATTACAAGACAGGAAGCTGTTAGCATGGTGAATGAACTTTACATTCATGTGTATTTGGAGTATGCTCCTTACTATCAGTTGTATCACAGTCATGACTTTCTGTTTCCATTTTCACTAACTTCAAAATTGAGGTCTACTATAATGTGCTGGACTTAACCTTTATTTTCCAACTTCTTTGGTTCAGGTTCCTCCACTGTTTCTAGATGTACGTCCGGATCATTTTGTTCTTGATAGTAAGCTTCTCTTTATAAATCATAAGTTCAAAGTTGAGGGAAAAACTCATATGAATGAGAAGGATCTTTGTCTGACATGCTATTCAATTGTAAAAGAATATGTTTATAGCCTTTTCACTCTTTTGTCTGGTTTGTTCCTGATAAAGAGTACATTTTCTCATGCCCCCCCCCCCCCCCCCAAAAAAAAAAAGAAACAGATTTTGACTATTTTTTTTACCAATGTAGTGTGTGCAGCTCCTGGTTCCAAAACATTTCAATTGCTTGAGATGATATACCATGAGGGTGTTCCTGGATCACTACCTACTGGAGTGGTACACTCATGTTCTCTCACTTTTCCCCTACAGTTCGTACGTCCTTAAATACCAAAATATTTTAGCATTTTGGGTATTCTGTACTTTCTCCTTAACTAGTTTCTCACCCGTGCGATGCCAGGGGTGAGAGTTTTTATAAATTGAAAAAGTGAAATATTACTTCCTTCGTCACATAATTAATTCTTATTTTGACTTGGCGCGTGGATTAAAAAGTGGAGTTGTGTGATCTAATGTGGTCCAAAGAAAACAAAAATGTTATGGACCATAGATTCTTTGCCATAAAAGAAAGAAAAGTTTGTATACAAACAAAGATATATATTTCAAATTGTAATTAAAAGGATAGCAAGAAATCTCAAAAGCTAATTGTCTACCTTTTTTAGAAATTTGAAAATCTAAAGTTTTATTATGGTTTTTTATCTGTTATTAGAGTAAATTAAGTTGAGTTTGTATGCATAGATGAAAGAGATCTCAAGCAATATCATATAGGTACATCTATCTCATGAATGATAGTTTTTGAATTCTCAAATCAGATATGCATTTTATCTTTGACATGCTCTATTTTCGTACAAAATGTATTTCATATGAAACATACATAACGTCAACACACATTATAAAAGCATTTAAGTTTATAAGTTCCAAGTTACACTTATATAAACAAAAAATTATTTTTAAATTGCGAGTGTGTCTACAGTTTCATGGCTAAAGGGTGCATAATATTTCATTTTATTTTACACAAATCTTCATCACAACTTTTACTTTTTCACAACTTTTTAAATCTTACCAAACCAAAAGAAGACACATGAAATGGAACGTAGGTAGTAACTTACTTTATCGATAATTACTTTATTGATTGTACAAATAACTTGTTTGAGTTATATCTGTCACACAAACCTTATTTTTGTCCATTAACGTAATCGTAATATTCTCCCTCAATAAATCAAACTTTTCACCAATTCATACACATTCACTCAGTCAATTTACTTGATTAATCTAATAATTTCAGTGCTAACAAATGCGTTCAAAATATTTGAATCGCTAGATTTTCATTTTAGCACTTGGGTTTGTTTTAAAAAAATTGAACTTGAAAATCTTTAGCAGTTGAAGTTTTTTTAACTTTATACTCCGTATATAGATTATTGGTGTCGTATGAAAGATCATAAAAAGTTATGAAATTCGATATATTTTTGTAAAAATGGAGAATAAATAAAAAATTTATAACATTTTGAATTTTTTTTGGGAATTTCAGTTTGGCCGGGCCCCTCTTTACTCCGCCGCCCAGCTGCCCCAGCACGTTATAGTGCATGTCTTTTGAATTGTTCATTGAGAAGGACAATATGTAAGCTACCAACCGTACCATAGGTTGGCAGCGATCGGACCTTTATACCCTTACTTTAGGCGGGAAAACTGTTTATTCTTTCCACTTCCTTTTGTATATAGTGAGATGTTAGTGGTATGTCTATCTTCTTTTTTAATCGCAAAAATATTTTCTCTCATGTGCAAGTCTTTGTGATTTATCTGAACACTAATCTTTGAAGGTGATAGCAAATGATGTTGATGTGCAAAGGTGCAACCTTCTTATCCACCAAACAAAGAGAATTTGCACTGCCAACTTAATTGTCACAAATCATGAAGCCCAACATTTCCCCAACTGTCATTTGTATAGACATCATCCCAACAGTTCCGAGATCAGGAGCTTTGAGGTTCCTGATATCACTCAGCATCTATTTGATCGTGTTTTATGTGATGTTCCGTGCAGTGGGGATGGTACTTTACGCAAGGCACCTGGCATTTGGAAGAAATGGTAGTTATATATGTATTTTTGTAGAGTTTATTTGTTTTGTAATATATGTATGTTATATCTTAGCCTTTTCTTTTCCTTTTGTAGGAATGTAGGAATGGCCAATGGTCTGCATGGTCTACAAGTTCAGATAGCGATGAGAGGTGTTTTTTACAGTACTTGGGGCCTTCTGGGGGAGGGGGGAGTACAGCTGATATGCTTGCATGCTTTTAACCCACATATGCCGACCATCTCTGACTTATATGTTGGAACGTCAAATATGTTTCACTTATTCAACATGGAATGTTCCAACTCTTATTAGTATTTCCCAAAGAGGAGGAATCTGCCTTAAAAATTAAAAATGTACTCCCTCCGTCCCGCTAAGATTGTCTCATCTTTCCTTTTCGGTCCGTTCCACTAACATTGTCTCATGCCAAATTTGATAAAGTTTGTGTGGTTCTAAATCACTCTTGTTTTATTCTTACTTTATGATCTCAATATCAATTACATAAAACCACTTTTGTTAATAACCACACCATCTCTTAATGTCCCAATGTTAATGGGATGGAGGTAGTAAAAAGTTAATCTGTATATTTGGTCACAGTTTAACAATTCTATTCTTTAACTCCCTTCTGATGAAAATATTCTTCTTTGTAACATTAAAGGTAATGATGCATGCTACTATATAATATTATGGAAAGATAAACAGAGCAATCAAGTAGAATAATGAGGAGTAATATCTGATTGATTTGCTTGATTGAGTTTATTATGATTTGATTTTGATACATTCATTATTTAATCTATTTTAGGAAGTGATTTTCTAGGATTTCCCTTTCCTTGTTATCTGCATGTAATCCCTCTTATAAAAGGGAGCTTTGTTATGCTAATAAGATATCGAAGAAAAATTAAGAAGAAAACCAAGGAGAAGGAAAACTCCCCAAATTTCCAGTCCCCTATCCATTTATCATTTTTTATTTCATTCCCGTGACGCAAAGAATCCCGGCAACGGAACCAAAATGTTATGTACCGGGATTCTTTGCGTCACGGGAATGAAATAAAAATGATAAATGGATAGGGGACTGGAAATATGGGGAGTTTTCCTTCTCCTTGGTTTTCTTCTTAATTTTTCTTCGATATCTTATTAGCATAACAAAGCTCCCTTTTATAAGAGGGATTACATGCAGATAACAAGGAAAGGGAAATCCTAGAAAATCACTTCCTAAAATAGATTAAATAATGAATGTATCAAAATCAAATGTAAGAGACCTGCGATAATCCTATCAAAAGAAGTGAACGGTAATACAGATCTGGTAAGGAATGAGATAGAGAGGACGTTTATTGATAGAAATAATCTCAACGTAGGTACAGGCAACCGGGACTTAGGCAACAAGGCAACCAGACAAAAGTAAATGACAGCCTGCTATTATTAGCTACTCCCCTTAGTATTTATAGTAATAAGTCCACGCAGGGACTAAACTAGATAAATAGATTCATAAAATGACCCCCAGCCCATTTAATTGATCTCAGCCCTTTTATTTTTTCTCTTGTACACATTCTTAAAGTACTGGTTAGGCCTTTGCACCATATGCCTAACATTACTCCCCCCCTGAACATCCACCTTGTCCCCAAGGTGGAATTCTGGGAAGCTTTCTGTCAAAACCTGCAGCAACTCCCAGGAGTCCTCAAACCCTGGCAGGTCCTTCCAGTGTACCAAGACCTCCATCTTTCCCTCCTTGTTTAGTCTAGAGTCCAATATTGCTTCCGGTGTCACCTGTAGCTCCCATGCTTCATCCAAACATTTTGGCAAGGGTTGAAAGCTGGTAGTAGGTGATATGGCCTTCTTGAGCAGTGAAATGTGAAACACAGGGTGAACCCTGCTATCCTCTGGTAATTTCAGTTTAAAAGCAGCAGCATTTATCTTCTCAATCACTTCAAAAGGCCCATAATACCTGGGACTCAGTTTTTGGTTCAACCTTTTAGCTAAACTCCTTAGCTTATATGGTTGAATCTTTAAGTATACGAGGTCTCCCACTGCTAACAACATCTCTCTTCTATGCTTATCCGCCTGCTGCCTCATTTGATTTTGTGCCTTTGCCAGATTCTCCTTCAATTCAGCTAGGATTCCATTTCTTTGTGCAGTCATTTTAGACACTTCTTCTACATCAGTCAAACTAACATCTCCCCTAATGATGGGAGGGGGGTCCTGCCCATATAAGGCTTTGTAGGGTGTCATTTTGAGTGAATGGTGATAGTTGGTGTTATACCAGTATTCCGCCCAAGCCAACCATTGGACCCACTGTTTGGGTTTCCTTCCTGTCAAGCATCTCAGATAGGTCTCTAAGCATTTATTGACAACCTCCGTTTGCCCATCCGTTTGCGGGTGGTACGCAGTACTATACCTCAGTTGTGTTCCAGCCAACTTAAAGAGCTCTGACCAGAAATTACTCAGGAAAATGCCATCCCTATCACTCACAATTGACTTGGGGAAACCATGTAGCTTGATAACCTCCTTAGTGAACATCTCAGCCACTTCTTTGGCATTAAAAGGGTGTGATAGTGCCAAGAAATGAGCTGATTTAGTCAACCTATCCACAATGACCATTATAGTGTCCTTCCCCTGTGATCTAGGCAAGCCCCCAATGAAATCCATAGTGATGTCTGACCATGCACTCTGAGGAATAGGCAGGGGCTGTAGCAGTCCAGCTGGTTTTAGGGTTTGATGTTTATTAGTCTGGCAGACTGTACACTCCTCCACATATCTTTTGATATCTCTTCTCATACCCTGCCAATAGAAAAGATTAGTAATTCTTTTCATAGTTCTAAAGTAGCCAGAGTGCCCCCCAGTTGCTGAGTCATGGTACTCCTTTAATATCTTCATAACTCTTGGAGATTGTTTAGGTAGTACCAACTTCTTTTGGTAGTATAACAACCCTTTTCGGAGTTGGAAGTCCTGGTAACTGTCAGATTCAGAAATCACCTTTTGGATTAGTTCCTGACAAGCGGGGTCTGCCTTCAACTCTTCCTCCAAACCACTCCATTCTTGGCAAGTTACAACTGACAAGGCTAGTAGGTTGGATATCCTGGATAAAGCATCAGCAACTTTATTTTCTATCCCGGGTTTGTACTTAATGGTGAAATTGTATCCCATTAATTTGGAAACCCACTTTTGCTGTTCTTCTCCCATCACCCTTTGTTCCGTGAGGAACCTCAAACTTTTCTGGTCAGTATGGATTTCAAACGGTCTGCCAAGCAAGTAGGGTCTCCACTTCTGAACTGCTAGGACAATTGCCAGGAGCTCCCTTTCATACACAGACCTGTTCTGGTTTCTTTTAGACAACTCTTTGCTCATGTAAGCAATAGGCTTACCTCCTTGCATTAGAACGGCCCCTAATCCAGTCCCAGAAGCATCAGATTCCAAAGTGAATGTCTTGTTGAAATCTGGTGTTGCCAAGACTGGTAATGTGGTCATGGTCCTTTTGAGCTCTTCAAATGCACTAGTAGCTTGCTCAGTCCATAGGAAACTGTCCTTCTTCAGGAGTTGTGTTAAGGGAAGAGCAATGTGACTATACCCCTTCACAAACCTTCGGTAATACCCAGTCAGCCCTAGAAAACCTCGCAGCCCCTTCAAATCCTTGGGCTTGGGCCATTTCACCACAGCCTCAATCTTAGTTGGATCAGCTGACACACCATCACCTGAGATGATGTGCCCTAAATATACCAAGTGTGATTGACCAAAAGAGCATTTCTTAGGATTAATCACCAACTGATTGTCCTTTAGGGCAGATAAGACTGCCCTCAAATGCTCCTTATGGTCTTCTTGGTGCCTGCTGTAAACCAGGATATCATCAAAAAACACTAGTGCAAACTTTCTCAGAAAGGGCCTCAATACCTGATTCATCAATGCCTGAAAAGTGGAGGGGGCATTGGTTAGCCCAAAAGGCATCACTAAATATTCGTAGTGGCCCTCATGAGTGCGGATGGCAGTTTTCTGGATGTCAGCTTCCCGCATCCTTATCTGGTGATACCCTGACTTCAAATCCAGTTTAGAAAAGATTTTAGCTTCACCCAGTTCATCTAATAACTCTTCTATGATGGGTATGGGGTATTTGTCAGGTATGGTGATCTTATTTAAGGCCCGGTAATCTCCACAGAACCTCCAGCCCCCATCCTTCTTCTTGGCCAGTAGAATAGTGCTGCTGTAAGCCTGTAAGGACTGTTGCTGGGTTGTATGATTCCAGATTGCAGCATTTCTCTAATGATCCTCTCAATCTCATCCTTTTGATACTGGGGATACCTATAAGGTCTTATATTGGGTATGTTTGCTCCTTCTTTTATGTTGATAGCATGGTCACACTCCCTGGTGGGTGGTAATCCTCTTAGGGGTTTTGTTACTTCTGGAAATTCAGATATGAGTCCTTCCCAAATTGAATTATTCAGATGACTTTGTTCTTCCTTCAATACCTTCCCTTCACAGAAAACCATGTAACCATCCCCAACATCCCTTAGAATCTGTGTCAGAGTTTGCAGAGAGATCTCAATGGAATTGAACTCAGGATCCCCTTGAATAGTGTGAATTGACCCAGATTGTTGCCACTTGATTCTCAACTTCTGGAAATTGACCTCCACATCCCCCAAACTAGCCAGCCACTCCATTCCAAGGACCAGATCAGTCCCTCCTAAGTCAAGCATGTAAAAATCCTGCTTGATAATAGCCTCCTGCATATTCAGAATCAATCCCTCACACCTGCCCTTATTAGATATCTTATCACCGTTACCAATCTGCACCTTATAACCTGACACGGTGTTGTAAGGTAAATTATTGTGCTCTACCAACTTTTGAGAAATGAAATTGTGTGAAGCCCCACTGTCTATCAATACTTCAACCTGTTTTTCACCCTTTTCCCATTTCAGAATTCCCCGTACCTTGAAAGCCTGCCTGGAGGGAATCCCTTCCTTGCTCATAATGGAGAGTTGCAGGGATTTGGATTCCATAGTAACCTCTTCAGGGTCTGCCGCTTCAGGTTCTTCTTCCTTAAATTCCTCCTCATCCGAGTCCTCCACTAGTATTAATTTGTAATTTTTAAGCTTGCAGGTATGCTCCTTGCTCCATCTCTCTCCACATTTGAAGCACAGACCTCTTCTACTTCTATCCTGGTATTCATCCTGTGAGATCTGAGGTGCCACTCGCCTTATACTTGAGGTATTCATATCAGTGGTCTTCTTCCCCATTGGATTGTTTCTGGAATCTGCCACATTCCTACTACTAGTCTGGGGCCCAGAACTCCCATACTTTGCTTTATAACCTTCACCCCATGATGGCTGTTTGTAGTGCAGGTGCCCCTTGTCCTTCCCATCAGTTTTCTCTGCCATTTTCCCTTTTCCATAAACAGCATCATTCCTTTGTTCAATCAGTACGGCCCTGTCCATGACAGCAGCCAGAGATTTGGAATGGTAAAGTTTCAGTTCTGCTTTTATTTCCTTCTTGAGGCCATTGATGAAAATTCCTCGTAGCATACCTCTGTCAATGTCCTTCTGTGGAGCTATTACCATTTCAAACTCCTCCCGATAGTCTTCTACAGTCCCAGTTTGTTTCAGGCTCAACATGGGTCCAAAAGGATTTTGTAATAAGTCGGGCTGGAACCTGCGGATAATAGCATCTTTCAGGTCTTCCCAGGTTCTCTCCTCCGCCTGATGTTCCCACCACTGGAACCAATTCAAGGCCCGATCCTCCATAGCCACAATCGAAACCTCCACCCTGTCTTCCTCCTCAGTCTTATTCAATCTGAAGTAGCGTTCCATTCTTACTATCCAGTTGTAGGCCCCCTCCCCGTTAAACAAAGGTAGGTCCACCTTCCTACCAGTGTGAACACGACGATGGGGAACTGGGGAGTGTACAGAGTTGCCTCTCGATTTCGACGGGCTGCTTGGGGATCGCGAACGGTGATGATGCTTTGATCGTGACCTCCCCCTGGATTGATCGTCCTGCTTATATGCTGCCATCGAAGCTGTGACGCTAGTCTGGATCTGTTCATTCATTGTCGCAACCAGAGTAGCAATAGTGGCTTTCATCTCCTGCTGGAACGCCTCCATCCTTTGCTCCATGTTAGATCTCGTTTTTACCATCCACAGCTGAAACGAGAATTCTACGGCAATCGCACTTCACCTGCGATCCCCCAGGAGCTATTGCTCTGATACCAATGTAAGAGACCTGCGATAATCCTATCAAAAGAAGTGAACGGTAATACAGATCTGGTAAGGAATGAGATAGAGAGGACGTTTATTGATAGAAATAATCTCAACGTAGGTACAGGCAACCGGGACTTAGGCAACAAGGCAACCAGACAAAAGTAAATGACAGCCTGCTATTATTAGCTACTCCCCTTAGTATTTATAGTAATAAGTCCACGCAGGGACTAAACTAGATAAATAGATTCATAAAATGACCCCCAGCCCATTTAATTGATCTCAGCCCTTTTATTTTTTCTCTTGTACACATTCTTAAAGTACTGGTTAGGCCTTTGCACCATATGCCTAACATCAAATCATAATAAACTCAATCAAGCAAATCAATCAGATATTACTCCTCATTATTCTACTTGATTGCTCTGTTTATCTTTCCATAATATTATATAGTAGCATGCATCATTATTTAATCTATTTTAGGAAGTGATTTTCTAGGATTTCCCTTTCCTTGTTATCTGCATGTAATCCCTCTTATAAAAGGGAGCTTTGTTATGCTAATAAGATATCGAAGAAAAATTAAGAAGAAAACCAAGGAGAAGGAAAACTCCCCAAATTTCCAGTCCCCTATCCATTTATCATTTTTTATTTCATTCCCGTGACGCAAAGAATCCCGGTACATAACATTTTGGTTCCGTTGCCGGCGTCATGGGAAATTTCACACTTCCTGTGGATCAGTACACACTCCTCTTAGAGATACAGAAGGAGTTACACAAACTGATAAACGAAGGGCATCTTCGCAATCTGGAAATTACAGTGCAAAAGGTGCAAGAAGCATTGCCACCATTAAAGGAGTCACTTCAGAAACTTTCTAACCATATTGCCACCCGTTCCGAATCAGTGGACACCTTGGGAGGAGATGAATTTCTGCCTCAACCGCCGTCACTAAACACTGCATCTGCAGAATTTCTGTCTCAACCGCCGTCAGAGTTGCTTCCAACACAACATCTTCTAGAGCCAACGCTGTCTGCAACACCCATATTGCAGACTGCCCTACCCGATAAACTACCCAGAACAAACTTCTTAGACTTCCCCGATCCATTTTGGTCCACTAAGCCTGTCTCCGTTTGCCATTGTATACCAATGGAATTTTTACTGGACGCTGATGACCTTGGCCATAGTCCACCACTAAGAGTGACTTTCAATCTTCTTCAAGAATACAAGGATCACTGGCACTTTTTATTGGTGCAGTCATTCAAAATCCAGTTCAAGTTTTCAAGCTTGAGGGCAAGCTTGATTTTCCAGGAGGGGTGTAATGATGCATGCTACTATATAATATTATGGAAAGATAAACAGAGCAATCAAGTAGAATAATGAGGAGTAATATCTGTTTAATTTGCTTGATTGAGTTTATTATGATTTGATTTTGATACATTCATTATTTAATCTATTTTAGGAAGTGATTTTCTAGGATTTCCCTTTCCTTGTTATCTGCATGTAATCCCTCTTATAAAAGGGAGCTTTGTTATGCTAATAAGATATCGAAGAAAAATTAAGAAGAAAACCAAGGAGAAGGAAAACTCCCCAAATTTCCAGTCCCCTATCCATTTATCATTTTTTATTTCATTCCCGTGACGCAAAGAATCCCGGTACATAACAGGTAAAAGCTAGGTGAGCAGACTGAATAGGGAAACCATGTTTGAGTACATTGACTATAAGAAAACTCTCTTTATCATTTATTCCATCACTTATTATGATGATAAGCTTAGCTCTTTTAGATCGTGCCAGCCTACCATGAGAAATATAGGATTCCCAAAATATGCTACTAGGCTAGTGATTTGAAAATGGTGTAGAGTCTGTTTGCTAACTATGTATATTGAATGCAATTTTCATAACTTTCCATTCTCTCCTAAGCCTTACTTAAAGCTATGGCTGTTGATCCATGTACTCCAGGTATTTCTTTGCTTAAAGTTGGTGGACGGATGGTTTATTCCACTTGCTCGATGAATCCTATTGAGAATGAAGCTGTGGTTTCTGAGGTATTTTTTGGTTCTTTGAGGTCCAATTAGAATGTTTCCATTCTTTCATTCCTCAAAAGGTCATTTAAAGGGCAAGTTAATTGGATTTGTATGAGAAAGGACATGGTGATGCTCAAGGAGGTACCCAGCAGTCCCAGCTGTTTTGCAACAGCCAGATCCAATAATTTCAACTTACAATTTCCATCAGCATTCATATAAGATATTCTGGATCTAGGGTAGTCCTAGGGAAACAAAAGCCAAGGAAGATTTCATTCTTATGTTTGACACTTTGGTAATAATTCCAACTTACAATTTCCATTAGCATTCATTTACTGATGACTCATTGACATCTTTTATGTTCAACCAGATAATCATCCTAGCTCTCAATATTAGACTGTTTATTGTAATTTGAACAGTAAATTCAGTCTACCTATGCTTTCATCATTTTTAAAGTTGCTTGTCTTTACCTACCCTTTTCAGTTTTCACCATCATGTCACGAATTATTGTGCTCTATTTCAACTTCATGATTATCTTCTTTTGGCAGGTTCTGCACAGGTGTGGACAGTGTGTTGAACTTCTTGATGTCTCCATTGAGATTCCTCATCTAATTCGCCGCCCAGGTCTTAAAAAATGGAAGGTGTTTGTGAAACTATTCTCATGGATATCAATATATTTTGTTTCACTTCATTATGTTTTGGGGATCACTTGGCTGTGCCTTTAAGATATGGTTAACTAACTCTAAGTGGTCCTATAAATATGATTAAATGTTTACATATGAACATAGCTCTAAGTTTTATAGAATGGCAGCTAAAAGTTTCATGTGGAAACATTACCAAGACTAGGCTATGTTGCTCCTATGCAGAAAATGTCAAAATAGATCATTTGGAATTACCATGTTTTCATGGAAAACAGTCATTGAAAACGTTGTCATAGTTTGTTCATGTTTTCTCCAAAATGTAGAAACAACATTTTCCAAGAGTTTATGTGCATCATTGCTACCAAGACCCTAGCTAAAATGAGAAATATAATGGTCGCGTCTATGATAGCTTGCAGATCCTAAGAAAATGAAAAAAAGATATACCAACCTAATATGGAGAAAAGGGTCATATAAGGCCTTTTACTATTACAGAATCGTCACATAAGGTCACATAGTGTCATATACATACGTCTACTTATAAAAAGCAATCAAATGAGTCCTAACGACCCACTGACAACCTTTGAATCCCGACTTTAGCTTACGTGTTGTTATTAATTCCCTGAATTTAAGCCAATTTTGGCTAAATATTCCACGTCAGCTTTATAATCTATTTTGAAAAGATAGCGAGACATATGCTAAAATCGGGATTACGAGGTTGTCAAAAGGTCATTAGGACTCATTCGATTGCTTTTTATAAGTAGACGTATCTATATGACACTTTATTGAGTACATGGCTTTATGTGATGATTTCTTAATGGGATTTTATCAATCCGGGACCTGAAAGATACACGACTCAACAATCTGGGACTCGAAAGATGAAATGTATCGATATAGGACCCGAATGATGGAAAACTATCAATCTAGGACCCAAATGATTAAAAATTGTCAATATAGGACCTAACTTTTCATAAATTTTACGAATTTTTTTATTTTAAAAAAATTAAAAATTATTTAGTTTTATTAAACTAATAAACTTTTGTGAAGAAAATTGCATCAAATATTAGCAATGGAATTAATAAAAATTTAAATAAATCAAAACATATGAAATGTTAGGTCCTAGATTGATAGTTTTTCATCATTCGAATCCTATATCGATACATTTCATCTTTCAGGTCCCAGATTGATAATTCGTGTATCTTTCAAGTCCCGGATTGATAAAATTCCTTTCTTTTACTTAATAGTAGAAGGCCTTATTTGACCCTTTTCTCCCTAATATGTATGTGTATATTCAAAGTTTTAAAATCCCATTAGAGCTCAGTGGTATTGGCCTTGCAAGGTAAAGATGGGAAACTCACCTAGATTGACAACATGTCTAGATCTTATGGGAACATTTCTTCCATTTGATTTATCTCAATGCCTTTAAATGGCATTTACAGGTTAAGGATAAAGAAGTGTGGTTAAATTCTTACAAAGATGCTCCAAAACCTCGCAGAGGTTCAATTGTTCCTGGAATGTTTCCTTCTCAGTGTAACTGGAGTTTTGAAAATGTGATACACATGGACAAAGAACACACAACTTCCACTAGCATCCTGGAAGAGGAAGTATCTACATTACCTTTGGAGCGCTGTATGAGAATAGTGCCTCATGATCAGAACACTGGAGCCTTCTTTATTGCTGTCTTTCACAAGCTTTCAAATCTGCCAGGTAAATCTTATAGAGTATTAGTTTGAATCAGTTCCGTAGAAGATATAGAGAACTTTCTGGGTATGATGTTCAATGATGCTAGTGTATTAGGCATTACCACTGAATGGGTTATAATTTAAGTAAAAGTGGTCAGTCAGCTAAGTCATACAGAATCGGGAAGCAGCTTTTTTAGAATATATCTGGAATGAAACGTGGGCGAAACAAGCAAAAGCGAACAATTTAGGACAATTTTTTGTAAAACACTAATTAAATAATTATGTGTATTTGTTTTTTTTGTTCCTGGAGTAATTAGGGCTGAAACTCACTCCATTGAATTTCCACCGCTTGTGTGCCTAGCGGGACTCAAACTCGAGACCTCCCACTAGACACGGTAACCTCACAATCAGCTGGGCTGGAATGCTTGGTTGTGTATGTGTGTGTGTGTGTGTATATATATATATATATAGAGAGAGAGAGAGAGAGAGAGAGATGATTCTGTCCAGCACTCCCCTGTCCGAACACCGTCCGAACACCGTCGTTTGGGGTGGTTCCCAGTGGAATTTTTGGATGAATTTTTTTTAACATGTTCCTCATCAAGTCTTGTTTATCCACAAAAAAATTCAGCTCAAAATTCAATCGGGAAGACAGTCAAATCATTTTTTGAAGTTGACTGCGTTTTTATATGTATATTTTGGCGCAGTCAACTTTAAAAAATGATTTGACTGTCTTCCCGATTGAATTTTGAGCTGAAGTTTTTTGTGGATAAACTAGACTTGATGAGGAACATGCTCAAAAAATTTCATCAAAAAATTCCACCGGGAACCGCCCCAAACGGCGGTGTTCGGACGGGGGAGTGCTGGGCAGGATTATTTCTCTCTATATATATAATATGACAGTGAAGATACCAATAATAATAATATTAATAGTAAATCATCAAATTTAAATCTACAAATTGTTCAGTTATTAATGCATAACAAAATATATAATGCAACATAAGTAAAATAAATTAAATTTCAGTGGATTCATTTCCACGTAATTAAATCATCACTAAAGAAAACCCATTCAAGATCTGGTTCATCCAAAGACTGATATGAAAAATTCAAAATCCCTATATCATCCAAGCTTCCAAATTGATCTCCATATCCCATATTTTAGTATGCCCTAAGTGTATTCCACAGAATTGGAGATGAATATTATTCTATATAAATACTAAATATTCATCTGATTTATTCTCCAAAGAATTGGAGATAAAACCCATTCAAATGTGGGTGTTGGTGGAGATCAATTTGCAAGCTCTGAAGATTTGAGATGCTTGAATTTGTCAATATGTTTTTTGACGAACCAGATCTTCAACGTGTTTTCTTTAGCGGTGACGTGGAAAATGAATTCATTGAAGTTTAATTTATTTTATTGCTAATACATTTTATATTTGTTATGCATTAATATTTGAACAATTTCTAGATTGATTTTGATGAATAACTACTAGCTGGAGATGTATCTTATTGAATCAAAAGTCAGAACATGGTGAATGAAATGGAAGGATGTCTCAGAACAGTTGATGAGTTCCTACTGTTATTATTATTACTACTAGATGAGGATGTATCTTATTGAATCAGAACTTGGTGGGTGAAATGGAAAAATGCCTCATGATTTCTATGTGATCGAGGTATGCCAACAAAATTGAAGAGTAAGTTTTATTGGACAACAACTAGGCTTGCAATATTGTATGGCATAGAGTGTTGGGTGGTGAAACAATATCACATTAAAATGATAGGTGTGGTTGAGATGTGAACATAGTGAAAAAGACTGCTTGAATGAAATAATTAGACAAAGGGTGGGAGTAGCACCAAATAAAGTTAAAATGCGAGTGTCGATTACAGTGACTGAGTGACTTGACCATATGTGTATAAGACCAAGTGATGCACCTATTAGATGAATTGAGAGATATAGAGAAGGGGCAGGGAGGGGAGGATGATCCAAATAGGTGTGAATTAGAGTGGTCAAGAATGATACAGTACTTCTTGGATTAGATGAGAATATGACTTTGGGGATAGCGAAATGGAGGGAGAGTACACGTGTAGAGGATTGAACTATGGAGGGAGAGTACACGTGTAGAGGATTGAACTGTTTTTGTTTATATGCCTTTTCTCTACCATAGGTGGAGCCTTTGCGGTACTGGGGTAATATTGTTATATTTAGGGTTCTGCTTCTTCAGTGCTAGTTTATTTAAACCTCATATTCTTATGTATTCATTCTGTTAATATAAAGGACCATGCTTAGTGTTTGAAATCCAGTATATATATATATTTAAATAGAGAAGTCAAATGCTGAGATTAAAGAGGCTTCAAAAGGTTTGGAAGTGAAGTCAGCATGTACTGGAAGTCTTCAATTTCCTGAAGAAACAAAAAATGCAGGTTTACATGACAAAGAAACAGATGATCCTGCTTATTACAATAAGTCTGACAAAAAATATCAAGATAATGAAGCTGATGACGTCCACCTTTGTGGTAACACTAGTGCTAGTCCAGAGATGGTGGGAAGAACAAAGTTGCAGATTCAGGGCAAGTGGAGAGGGGTTGACCCAGTTATCTTTTACAGGGACAATGAACTTACTAGTAAGATCAAAGATTTCTATGGTATTAAAAAATCCTTTTCGTTTGATGGAAATCTCGTTACAAGAAACAGTGACACTAAGAATGTGAAGCGAATATACTATGTATCCAAGTCTGTGAAGGAGGTTCTTGAACTCAATCTTCTTGCTGGGCAGCAGCTTAAGATAGCCTCAGTTGGTCTGAAAATGTTTGTAAGTTTTTTCCTACTTAGTACATATGACTCACACTTGATAGAAAGGGAATTATGGATATTGTTTATTATAGCAAAGTTTTCACTACTACTTCAGCCCATAAACATTCAATAAGTTCTTTTTTGATCCAAAAAGGAGTCATGGTTTATCTAGCGAATCTAAGTTTTCATATTCGCCAAAAAAGGTTTAACAAGAAAAATGTGACAATTTTTGGCTCCATTTGGTAGCTAGTTCTTGGTTATTATGCTTAACGATGTACACAAAATAAGTAGCTATTGACTTACTTATTTGGATGGAATGGATGCCCCCAAATTCTTTTCCTTTCCATAAGATTTAGGAGAGTTAGCCATTTCAGCCAAAATGGCTAAATAACAAATTAGGAGCTTTATGGCCAAGATTTAGCCATTTGGCCATTTTTGGCTCCTAAGCTTTTCTTTTCCTTTCCAAGGAGATATTTCAGCCAAAATGGCTAAATATCTGCTGTAGTTCAACCAACAAAAAGAATTATAAACCACACAGGGTTTTATAAGTTTTTACTGGTGAACCTTGCCAATAACAAAAGTTTGTGTCATGACAAAAATGACTTTATTTGGATGGATGGAGAACCTATTAGACACCATTTTTGGACCATTTTCCCTATCCCACATGTCAATAGGAAAAGATTTATGAGAAAAATGTGTGCCAGGGATAGATGTTTCTATCCTCGTTTTCTCTTCTTCTTTTCATCTAATGCCATTTATGACAATTTCAGTTTACTTTTTTGTCCAGGTAAGACAGCCATATAAAGACGGTGCATCTGCACCCTGTGTGTTTCGCATTTCATCTGAGGGATTGCCGCTGTTGCTGCCGCACATAACGAACCAAGTTTTATATGCATCTCTCTTGGACTTCAAACATCTATTGCAGTATAAAATAATCAAGTTTGCCGATTTTGTTGATTCCAACTTTAGAGAAAAGGCTTCTACTCTATTATTGGGTTTCTGTGTGGTGGTTTTAGATAATAAAGGTTACTCCCTCCGTCCCCCTAACTTTGTCCCATTTTACCTTTTTTGTCCGTCCCATTAAGTTTGTCACATACCATATTTGGCAATATTTGGGTGGTTACAATTCATTCTTACTTTATTCACACTTTATCAATTCAACACCAACCACACAATTCCACTTTTTCTTAAAATTTGTGCCACACTTCTTTGTCCCAAACATAGTGGGACGGAGTAGTACGTTGTAATTGTCTTAGTGTACATTTGGATCCTCAAAAATGCCATGACAAGGAAAGAATGCATGTTAAGTTATTTTCCTATGTTTGGTTTTACAGTTTTACCAAGGAAAATTAAATATGATTTGCTGCTAGTTTTTATAAAAGAAACATAAATAAAAATGTGGAGAGAAAATATGTTTTAGAAACATAATTTAGTTTTAACTATTTTTTTTTTATCTCCCTCATTTTCATTCCTTCCCATTTTTCTCTCCGATCCTTCTCAAATTCATTGCCTGGTGTTCTCCTGGATCCAAAAGCACCATTAGAGGGATAAAGTTCTATCATATTTATAGTTTTATGTGCTCAATCAAAAGTGGCCCCTTGATTTGTGCAGATGAGCAGACCGCAATTGGATGCTGGAGAGGAAGGACTAACATATCTGTGATGGTCTCTTCCCTTGATTGCCAAGAATTATTAGAAAGGATGGATAAGTACGTGAAGGAGGACATGGTGTCGTCTTTACATTGCAACGATCAATCTTTTGTTAAGGCAGAAGATCAGACAAGAGTTGCTGTCGTGCCGAATCAAATGCCCAAATCACTTGGGGCTTTAGGGTAATTTATTGTACTTTCCATTTACACTTTTGTTTTGTGAGGCATTATTGCTTGTCTGCAGACATACTTTCTGACCCTTTCCTGCAGATTTCATGATTTTATATTTTGTGAACTTAAGGAATGTGGACAGATGGTTTTTGACACGTGATAATTTCTTGCTGAAATGTTGTACTCCGTAATATAACAAAAACAGTGTGTTGAACAGTTGAAGTATTTTAGTCATATGTGATACGTGAGAACCCTTTTGTTATGAGTTGTGTCCAAGTTATGTCAACTTTAGTCACAGTCTAGTCCAATTATGATTTATTTATTTATTTATTTATTTATTTATTTATTTATTTATTTTACATCCAAGGTTTGAGTAGTCTATTTAGGGTTAGGCCCAAGTGTTCACTCATCAAGTTGTTAAGCCCAATATCAACGGAAGAGTGTGAAGTCTGTGAGATAGCCCTCAATCCTCATCTTGAAGATCATTTTGCGGAGATAAACCAGATTTAATGTCTGTCCAGAAATGAAGGAAGCAGATATGCAACATAAGACAAGGAAATAATAACAGTCTTGCAAGAAAAAGATGTGGGTCACCGTGTAATATCCAGTCTAGGACATATCACAATTTCTTTAATAAAACAGCTTGTAGTAATAATAGAATAGAAAACAAATATTGAATTTTAAGATATACAATCAAAATACAGCAGATATTAGCAAGTAGAACTGGCTGTCATCAGAATCAATCTCGTAGCGCTCTGCTTTAGCCAAAAAAAAGGAGAAACGTATAAGACCCCATCACCTCAGGAGGAAGTACAACACATTGATTTCTTTTCTGGAATGACTTGTGCAGGCCCAGGCAAAACAATCTTCTTTCCACTTAAGGATCCTTGATTCCCACTACCTTGATTCTCAGCAGTGGCAACAAGATTCTTCTTGTTCACAATATTAAATATCTCTTCCAGCAACTTCATGAACGCATTCTCCACATTTGTTTCTTGCTTTGCAGACGTCTCCAAGAAAAACAGCCCTTCCTTTTGAGCAAATTCCTTAGCATCCTCAGTTGGGACAGCACGCTGCTCCTCAAGATCGATTTTGTTTCCAATAAGAATGATCACTATGTTCTTGTCGGCATGAGAACGCAACTCTTCCAGCCAACGCGGTATGTGGTCAAAGGTTTCCCGCTTCGTTATGTCATAAACCAACATAGCACCCACTGCTCCCCGGTAGTAGGCACTCGTCACAGCTCTATATCTGTTTTGTTATTATTAAAGGTTATAACTCATCATTATTTCGCAAAAATAGATGTTACAAAAAAAACTTCCAGAAAGAGCCAAACAACCATTAAAGAACAGTCTCCTGAATTTGCTTCTACTGGTGAGAATAAGGAAAAAGAGTAGCTTTTGAGTAGCTTGTTTGGCTGAAATAAGTGGTAGCAAAGAAGGCATAGCAACGAGAACACTACAGAATACTTACAACTTTAACTAATACTTTCTACACAATTAACAGTATAAATCCATACAGCTCATTATGTAAATGTCTAATGTTGTTGGTATAATCTGAATCCACTCCTTAAAGATCAAATCCACTCATTTAACAATAATTTTTTGACAAATGGCAATTCATTTAAATTCGGAGGTTTACTAATTATAATTTTTTTTTTAAAAAAATCATAGTGATACAGGTAATCGGGTAGAATCCTTCCATTCAGAGCATGAGGGAAGGAATTGAACTTCTTAGATACAGCAATATGCCACAAATTGGTAAAATATCAACCCCAATATCAGTAAGGAATAAAAACAACTTCGAATGAATCATAAGAGTTGAAGTAAAGTTGTAATCGGAATTACCGCTCTTGGCCGGCGGTGTCCCAGATCTGAGCCTTGACGGACTTGTGCTGGATGACCACAGTCCGAGTTTGGAACTCAACACCAATGGTGGCCTTGGAGTCGAGGCTGAACTCGTTCCGGGCGAATCGCGCTAGTATCTGAGACTTGCCAACCGCCGAGTCTCCGATCAGCACCACCTTGAACACGTAATCTATCTTCTGCCCCGCCGCATCCCCGTATCCTCCTCCTCCGCTACCCATCTCTTTCTTCTCTCCCGCTTCTTCTATCTGTAGCTATTGCAGTAAGAGTAGCAGCAGCTGAGGATCTGTAGAAAGAGTGTAGAATCGGAGTCCAGACGGAAGAAAAAGTAAGAGGAGGAGTCGAAGAGTCCGTAGATCTTGACTTATACTCCCACCCTCCCAAAATTATCTTCATAGTTACTATTCACATGGTCAATTCAAATTACTCTTAATCTTTTACTTTATATATCAAATTTTTATCAAACTTAAATTTTCTTGATCAGGCTTTGTAGCGATTTTAATGTAGTTTCTGAATATGTAAATTTTATTTACTAAAAATAATCCGAGTGTGAACAGGGATCGAGTTGCTTTATCGTCAGTCAAGCATCGTAAACCGAACTATGAAGATAAATATGGGACGGAGGTAGTAGAAATGTATCGTTGACTAGGGCTCTTAAAAGTACCCCCACTGTTTACAGTTAGTTCCCTGCCTTCCCAGCAACAGCAACAAAAAGAATGAAAGAAAACTCATTCAATATTTCAAACTTCACACTACCAAAATTGTCAGTTTGTCACTTCTCTTAAATCATTACCCACTTTATTGAAATGTCAATAAAGTACCGTCCCCCTAAGTTTGGGACAAAGGGGTGTGGTGTGGTTTTTAAGAAAAAATAGAATTGTGTGGTTGATATTGAATTGATAAAGTGTGAATAAAGTAAGAATGAATTCTAACCACTCAAATATTACCAAATATGGTATGGGACAAACTTAGTGGGACGGATGGAAAAGGTAAAACGGGACAAACTTAGGGGGACGGAGGGAGTAATATATATATATATACGGAGTATATATATATAGAGGGCAGTTTATATCGGGAGCTCCTGAAGAGAAACCCGGTGATTTTTTTTTGGGAAAATTTCACGAATGAGCTAAAACATGAAAACAATATCACTTTTGTTACCATCCGTTTCTTTTTTCAAAATTAGACAAGCGAACTTTTTCTTTTCAAAAACAGACCATATGTTCGAGCACCTGCGCTTCACGTATTCCTTTGCGAGAGTCTGAAGTTATACACTTATACGGATAAGGGATACTTACAAACATCAGGAACAACTCATTTCTATTTTTGAATAGAAAAAATGGAAGAAATCAAAAAAAGGATAAAACCAATAAAATATCAACATAAGTGTAACAAAATTAAAATATCGCAACTTTGATAAATGAAGTAAGAAGTAGTTAAAAGCTAAAAACCTAGAAATCATAAACAAACTATGTAACAATAAGATAAAATTATTTTGAGACTGATAAATAATAAGGAATTAAGGATAATATCATGAGTACGAATGAAAAGAGGTTGTATAAAATAAATAATATATATATATATATATATATATATATATATATATATCTTAAACACTCAAAATATTCAAAATAAATTTTTAAAAATAAAATAGAAATACGAAATGAATCCCTAATTTTTTTTGAAAAATAGTAAAGTAAAAAAAGTATAAAAATATCAAAACATGAAAGATTTAAATAATAAACATATAAAAATATAAAAAATGAAGAAAATTAAAGCCCTGGATCTATGGTTTATTTTTCTTCAAAAAGCATATAAGAAATCCGGAATATTTATTATTATTTTTATTATTTTATTGTTGCTTTTTGTTGCATATGTTTCTTTTTGTTGATAATTTTAAAATTTTTGTTTTTTATTGTTTCTGCGTGTTTCTTTTAATTGTTGATATTCATCCGTTCAAATATATTATTTTAAGTTATTGTACATTTGTATCTATAGTCGGCACAAATCAAAATAAACAAATAAGCAGAAACAAATCAAAATCTAAATGTTGACAAATTAAAATCAACAAAAAGCAACACTATACAACAAAATTCAACAACAAAATTCAACATGATGAAACATAAAGCTACAAGATGAAACAAAAAGAAATGCATGGGATACAACAAAAAGCAACAAAAACAAAATGTAAAAGGGTCACAACAAATTTGATCTAACACAGTCCATCATTGTGTGTCTTCACATATCTTCTTCCTTTGGTGCATCTTAACACAGAGTCCATCGATCATTTTCTCTTTTGTCTTCTATTTTTGGATTATCTTCTTAATGATATTATCATCTCTATATGCTATTATTATACGCCTGCAATGAAAAATGCAATCAATATGGCACCAATTTTTGAATCAATTATTACAAGGAAACAATCCACCTATAAAATTTATACACCAGAAATGGAATGAGAATAGGTCACATAGTTCAAAGAAAGGGATGAAGTGGAAACTCTAACTTACTGGTCGTAGATCCGGGGAATTAAATAAATCACATGCATTGTGACAACAGTACGGATGATCATAAAATACGAAAGTGGATGCTCAATCAATGGAATGCTTGATTTTGGAAGCTCTTTCAGTACTTATCAAACCAAAATCTGAGATTGAGGTTGAAACAAAGGCAGTGCATGTATTCAAGTTGCACCGCACAAAAGTGGAATACATTGAGCAGATGCTCAATCATGACATAGTCTGAGATAGTTGATAGAGAAAAAGGAGATGTTCCATAAGTTACTTGTGATGGATGGTCCTTGAAATTTTTCTGCAAATACCAAATTGCACACAAGATGGTATACTCTTACAATATAGACAAAACAGAATTAATACAATGTTATATTCTATAACATATTATGAACCAGTTGTCTCAAGAGGTTTAGACTCACAACATAATATTTTTTTTTTTAATGGAATCTACACATTTACTTGGACTCTCAAAGACTTCAGACCATGTAAACCACATTTTGACTGTAAAACCATGTCATCAATACAAGTAGCAGGAGCAATGTCCAACTGTAAGTCTATACATTAGTTGTCCACCTAAACAAACAACAAATTGATATTTTCAATATCATAATAGCTTAAAAATAATTAAAGATAAAATCTAAAAACATTATAATTGTGAATATGGGTTAGTACCCCTAATTTGTGTCAATCTTTTTATGCATAAAGGCTTGTACATTCATTCTAAAATATAGTACTAAACTTTTCTAATAGACTAAAATGCCATTACACCGTTAGAAATTAACTTGACTAGCTAACTTACGTTCAAATAACATGACACTACGTTACAACCTTTATTAGTAACTTTATTAGTGCATTAACTTCAAATACACCACTACAAATAAGCACATTTTTATTACGTTAAGTT